GTCCCCAGCCCCCTCCACCCTGCCAGGGGGTGTGGGGCCCCCCCCCCCGTCTCTCTCTCACACACACACACACACAGCCCCCACATCTTCACAAATAACCCCACCCCACCCCCCACACACGCGCACATACATACTTCAAAAATAGCATCTCATGAGTTACATCTCAAATCTCTTGATTTTTAAGACTTTGTTGCATGATTTTTGACATGGTGGGTTGGCAAGACATGCCCCCTAATCTCACTTGCTCCTTGGACTTTTGGCTAAGAGGAAGCCAGGGGGAAAGCACAAGTGCAGTCCCCCATTCCCACAAAATTGTTCAGTTAAGTTCCCTACATTTGTGGAAGCTCTCAGGAGCCAACCTGCCAAGAGTGCAAAGGATAGACCTCACTCTATAATTGATCTACACTTCATCTTAATCAAAACATTTTTTTAAGGAAATATTTTTGTTACACAAGCCAAACCAGCCAAATTAATTCCAAATCCATGAGTCGTTCAAGAATCATATGTGGCCCTGCTACCAGCAAGCATCTTCCACCCCTGCCTGGGGCTTCTAAATCCTTTGGCAGGCATCCTACGTGCAAGTCCAAGCCCAGAGGCTTGGGGTTTGGATACCCCCAAGTTTTGCTTGCCCTCAGCCATATGGCCACAGAAGCAAGCTAGGAAAGAGCTTGCATAAAGTTGGCATATAGCCAAGAACTTCCCACTGGAAATAGAAGGGGGAGGCTAATAATGCCTTATCTTGGTCAAGGTACTACATCCTGCCAAAAAATGGTTTTCCTCTGCAACTAGGAAAGACCCCTTAGTGGTTATGGTGTTTTTCTTTGGCACAATATTAGTTTAAAGCCAAAAGACTCATGACTTGGTATGTAGGTCATTGGGCTGGGCCCCACGAGCTCAACAGCATTTCAAGCCATGGTGAGTCATGACATTGCTTTCTCTGTCAACTCCTCTCAGCCTAGCACGTAAGATTAATGTGGTCCCATCCTCCATGGCGACCCCACAGCTCAATACTGCTCAGGTATGTGTGCAACCTCCAGATACCGCTACAAAGGATCCATATGTTAATTAGCTCCCATGTGCTAATTAGACTGGAACTGGGTTTTCCTGTCACAAGTATGCTCCAATAACTTATATGCAGATGAAGCACAGCATAACCTGATGCTTCACCTAGCGAAGGGTAGGGTCACATTAATTATATGTGCCAGGCTAAGACAGGAGGTGACATGGGTTTGGGAGGGACGAGACTTGCCTGGTGGTAGAGCTACACAGACTTGAAGGATTGAGCCTGACTGTGTCCATTTGGAATTTGAAATTAATTTGCCTTTAAGCAAAAAATATATTTTATAGAGATATCTCTATCTATACTTACATGTCCAATGTGAGCAGGAAAGATGCCATAATTAGGCTTGGAAGAATTCAATTTTTATTTTTTTTAATAATTTCAACAGCTAAAAATTGATGTTTATTTTTTAAGCCTTTGCTTTGATTGTTATCAATTTAAGGATTGCATGGAATTAGGGGTCTGGCAGTCAGATGATTTAGTAATGACGGCATACAATTTAGCAGTGATAGTAAGGATTTTATAAAAATCGTGTCAAAATATAAAAAGTAAATATCCATGAATCTATAAATCAGACCTGTTGTAAATCACTCTCTTCATTCATTGGGAATGAACTGGGCAGGCAGGGACCAGAAGGAGGACAGCAGCACTCCCAGAACATGGGAAAATGGGGAGAGGTGGTGGGTGCCCTTGGCTCCTTCCATGCTTAGCCGCCCTGGCACAGCAAGAGCAGAACCCGGCTGCCACCAGGCTGGAACCTCAAGGGCTCTTCCCTCTCCCCCCATTCCTCCTTTGGGTCGGGGTTTGTTTTAGTAGCCTGTTATCTCCCTCCAGCCAGGTTCCCACACCTGTGAAGGAGCAGATGATTGCTTAATTGATACGTCATTAGACCAGAATGAGCAGCTAACTGCTTAATGATGAGCAGGGATCCAGGTTTTCCATTTCCCCACAGAAAAACAGAGAAAACCATGGATTTCCCATTTTCATTAGAGAAAATCAGATTTTACCTTTTAGCAGAAAAACCTGTGGATTTCCCGCTTTTGCAAAGACCCCTGCAAGCGTGCACAGTTCCAGCCTGCAAGAGCCGACTGCGAAAAGGGCTGGAAACCCCCAGCTTTGCCCAGAGGGCCTGAGTCTCTAACTCACCCACAGCTCTGCTCAGCCTCAGTTTCCTTCCTGGAGCCTGTAAGGAAAGTGCGGCTGGGGGGTTGCAGGAAGACATGGAGTGCCCATCAGTGTGAACCCAGAACAGCGTAGTATCAACCCTTCAAGGAAGCCGCACATGTAGGCACAAAGCCCCCTCAGGTCAATAGCACCACTCTGGGTCCACATGCCTCTGACCCAGTGGGACTTCCATGTGGGGCTTTCCCCAACTCATCCCCCTCCTGCAGCTCCCAGCCAGCTTCCCGCAGGACTTTCTCTGGCAGACACAGACAGACACACATGCAGGCACAGACACAGACAGACACACACACCTCCCAGCAGGTAAGTGTGTGGAGGGGACAGGGCCAGGGCTAGATCAAGAATGGGGGGTGGGGAGTGTCTCTGTGCCTGCTCCCAGAAGCAGGGCCAGGGTGGGGGGGGAAAAAAAAAAGAGCAGCAGTACCTCTCTGCAAGCTGCATGGGCGCTGCCTGGCCACATGGGGGTTAAGAAGGGGTTCACACATGGTGGTGGTCGCCACTGCCCCATGTCACTGCCACGCCCCTCACTGCAGCTGGTTGCACATGCAGCTCTGCAGGCAAGCAGCTCAGAGTGTGTCAGTGGAGATGCGGGGTGGTGGTGGCAGCCACCACCTGCAAACCCCCCACTCCTAACTGGTGCTCCTCTGCAGGCCACATACATGCCACCTGGCTGGCCAAATGAGGAAATGGGGAGGGCTCGCACATGGTGACCACCCTGCACTGCTGCACCCACACCACTTGCCCGCAGAGCCACATGTGCAACTGGCCACAGCAAAGCAGCATGGCAGTGGCAGCTGACGAATGCAAAGCCCACCTCTCTCCCACTCCAGACAGGCAGGGCATGTGCAGCCCACAGAGGAGCAGTGCTGCCCTCACCTGCTTCTGGGAGTAGGCACAGACACTTCCCCTTCTATTCTAGGTCTGGTTCCCCCCAGGCCCTTCCCTTCCCCCCCCCCCCCCCACTTACCTGCTGGGGGAGGTGTGTGCCTGCATGTCTGTGCCTCTGTGTCTGGGGCACAAGCAGGGCTAGGGAGGCTGTAGGGGAGAGTGAGGGGCACCAGCAGGGCCTGGGTGGGGGGGGCAACTGTGGGGGGCCTGTAATTTTAATCACAGATTTTGAGGGTTTAAAAAAAAAAAATCAAGAGAATTTGCAGAAAAAAAAAAAAAAAAAAAATCAAGAGAATTTGCAGTTTTGTTTTTTTTTTAAATCAGGGAAAACCAGGATCCCTGATGAGTCATTAGGCCATGCATTTTTTTTCCCCCTCTTTAACCCCTGTGCCCTCTGTCCCTCCCTCTTTCTCCATTGCCCAGTCCAGCAACAGGGGTACAAGTTCCTTGTTACAGTCCTCCTCCTATAAATTTTGATTATTACTGATGGAAAATTTCTGGAATAGACTCCCCCCGGAAGTGGTTCAAGCATCTACTCTGTATACCTTTTGAGAAACACTTGGATGCTTATCTTGCTGGGGTGATCAGACCCCAGCTGACTTCCTGCGCCTTGGGAAGGACGCTGGACCTGATGAACTTGCAAGGTCACTTCAAGGCCTAATGTCTATGAATCTATGACAAGCACCCATGTGTGGTATGTGCTGCACAGCACATGCAGGCATTACATGTGGCAGCAGCATATGCTGCCAGAAGCAGGGCAGCACATGCTACCCAAAGCTGGAGCCCGGCTGCCAGGCTATATGCTGCAGGATTGCCATGGCTGCAGCCCCCAGAGGCCCCCAGGTAAGGCTGCTGGCCCCAGTCCAGGTGCTGGCCCCAGCCTCCCCTACCCCACCCCAAGCAACATGCAGTACACCAGAGTGCATATATGGGTGTTCCCTAGATACAAGTTCCCTGCTCTTTGTCCCTAGGAAAAGACTTTCCTCCTCCACTCACGGGGATGTGCCCAGTGAGATTTCTTGGTATGCTATTATAAGAGGAGGGGTTTCTTCCCCCCATGCTAATTGGGGCGGGGGGAAACCTCATCTTAGAATCAAATAAAAGACATAACTTCCATACAGAGCCTCTCTCCTCCAAATAGCTCATATCTGACTTCATCACTTTAAGCCCACTCTGAGTCCTACTCAGTCTCCTTGTTTTCTAATATGTTCCAGAGTTCAACACACTAGTAGCATGTACAATCCAAATTACATTGGTGAACAGCCTTCCTGAAAACTAAAGCTCAGTATACAAATCAGGAAGCTTTGTGGGCAGCTCTCCCACTCTTTACTGCTCTGGGTTTCAGCCCTCAAATTTACCTGAGAACATTAGTTGCCCCCTTTTGAGGGAAATTGCATTCACTCCACAATTCAGCAAGACTTTATAGACAAATATAGGATACAAAACTAGCTTTTCCCCCAAAGGTCATCTCTCTGCAGATTCAAAAGAGAAATCCCATTGTAACTTCAGGCCAGCTCTCAATTTAGTATTCCAACAGGAACAGATAGCTTAAAAGACTGGCCATAAATATCCGGGCATGAGTTCGGCATTCACAAAAAAGCACTTATCAAGCATTTGTGGCTGCTAGGTAATGAATATTAGTACAAAATACATTTCCATGGGCAGAAGTTGCACTGTATCCTTGGAAAGGGGGACGAGTGCTGCTGAAAAATCTAAAATAGGATGCTATAGGCAAAACATTTCATTGTGGCCAAGCGTTCAGAAAGCTTGGAGAAAAATCATAACAGCATACACTTGTAACTTTGCCCTGGTAGGAATGCAAGGCTATTGCATACTGCATAGACTCAGCTAGACCCACCCGAATCTGTTCATCCCAGCTGTTCCAGCAAATTGATGTTTTTCCTAAAAATGGCTGATATGGTTGTAAGCACACTTAAGACAGTAGGACTTAAGGGAGAACACTTAATATTGAAGTGTGTACAGAAACCTTTAGAGACTGGAAAGGTCTTGCAAAGGGTAGGATAAGCAGTGCTGTAGATGAAGTGTCATGAAGTCGAGCATGAAAAAACAAAATTATAATGAAAAAGTAGTCATTTTGTGATCTGAACAAAAGGTTTTGACTTGTGCCTTTTAGAACAAACTCATGTTACCACTGGGAGAAACTAATTAAAATATACATCCACTCCACAATTTGAGTATCTGTAAGAATTAATCTATTAAAGCAGAGTTGGTTATGCACCTTCCCCTTACAAAGATTACTGTATTTACTTGATTTGAAGATGAGCCCCCTGCCACTTAACATGGGTGGAAAAGCCCCTGATTTTAGAAGCAAGTGGGGTGGGGGGAAGGGAAGACAGGAATAGGTGGCTAGGGTCACAGTCATAGCCGTTTCCTACTTCTGCCCACCCACCTCTGTATTCCGCCTCCTCACTCCCCACCCCTGCACCCTCTGCTCCCCCCTGCCTGCCCCTCTCGTCCTCCCCCCTCCATTACCCTTGCTCCAAGCCTGAGGCATTGAGTACAGCCCCAGCCCAGCCCCAGTGGCAGCATGCAGCCTGCACAGCTGCTATGGGTACTGGGCTGGGACCACACTCCATATCTCAGGCTAGAATGGGAGAGCAGAGGTAGAGGGGAAAGGGGCAGACAGGGAGCAGGCGCAAGCAGGGGATAAGCCGCTTGACCTCCCCAGATCACTTACTCCCCACTGCCTGCCCCCCTGCAGCAGGGGGAGGAGGACGAGTTAAAGGCAACCCCCTGATAATTAGGTTCTATACATGGGAAAGTTATAACAAACTTTTATAAATTTTCCATGTATAGAATTTAATTATTGGGGGCTCATCTTAGTATACTGTGTTCACTTCTCTAAGTAGATCTACCTTTTTCCATGACTACCAAAGTTGAAAATATGGGAAAGGACTAGACATCAGGTTATTCATAATCCTACTCACCTTCTCCTCTAGTAATTGAAGGGAACTGACTTTTGATGTTTAAACTATAAAGATTTCTCATTTGAGGGATTATTTGAATTTAGGGAGAAGGGATGCCAAACCATTTATGGCAGGGTATTGCACCTCAAACTAACCAAATCCATCACAAGTTTTATCCTAATTGGCTGCCAGCAAAAGCAGCCACTCCTCAATTGAGCAGCCAGTTTGATGACTGCCACAAAAAAAGTACAGCCTAGAAGCACAATAACAACTGAAATAAGTATGGGCAGAGCAAGTGGGAATAGTTCTTTGACCCATTTAAACCTTTTTGCTTCCTTTTCAATTGGAGACAGGAACTCCTCTTCCTTATAGGGAAGATTTACTAGAAGACAAGCTTTTTAGTGGCCGAGAGCCTGGGATTCTCCAGTCAATATACAGACTTCAATTTCTACCAATATGCAGGGATTAAGAGATGCCATACAAGTCTCACCTTTTCCCCAAAAAGCTCCCAGGAAGATGCTGCATACAATAGTTGAAACCATGCGGACAGAAGCTATTCAGAATAAAGGTGGGTTCATAGGGGGAAAAAAAAAAAAAGGAGCAAACCTGCAAAATAAGTCTGGTTCTAGACAACTTGCTAGAAAAGAAGGGATCCAATTCAACTGTAAACCAATTTAAAACTATTTCCCCGACCAAGAATCAGAGAGGTAGTCTTCATAAAACACAATAGCCTGTAGAAAGATTATATTCTTTTATTGATTTCCTGTTTTACAGATTCAGGTTTAACTTTCAATAATAAAGTTCAATAAATTGATTCCTTAATCATAAAAACTTGCTTTACACATTATTTACAAGTAGCCAGAGACTACAGCCATATAGAATGTCACAGTTATACAATGTACCTTCACACAGGACAAGCTGGGGAAGAGGAAGATAACTGCAGTGACATACATTCAGAAGATCAAGTTGTGGATATGCACAGTGCATTTGGCACAGCTCAAGGGTTCATCTATACAGGTTTGGTTAGAAGAGTTAATCCCAGTTAGCTGGAGGTCCAAATATAGAAGTGTACTAGATGAACTGAATTAAATCTCTGTGGACATTTGAACTCAGAATTCAGGCAGCCTTAGTTTATTTACTTCACTGTCAAAACAAATTAAGGCCATTTGAATTCTGAATATAAATGTCTGCACAAGGGTTTAATGCTGTTTACCCAACACATTTTAAAATTCACACCTTCAGTCAAGTGTCCTTGTGTAAATGAACCCTTAATATTAAGGTCTGGCTCTGATGCAGAAAACCATTTCAGCTCAGATGTACAGGAGCCTGTCAAAGGCCAAAAGCAGTTCAGGCAGTGTTCTTTGGCAGGCTGCAAAATCAAAAGACAGAATTTAAGAACAGAATTAAACCTCTCCATCTTTTTTGTTTACTGCCTGTACCAGAACTGCTTGGGTAACATCATGGTTTGGGATTTAGACAAAGGTGGTCCTTACCTCAAGAAAATGGGATTCTTAATACTGAGTATTAAAAAAATTATTGCATCTCCCTCAAAGAAGTAGTCACCAAATCCTTTCAAAGGCTTATTTGGTTATTTATTGGGAAAATGTCTCTTTCGCGGCAATTATAAGAAACCAAGAAAGCATTTCACATAAGTGTCCATCTTTCTATCGAAACAGAAATAGGGTAAACATCAAAAGCCCACAAAGATTCCTAAATACACTGTAAGGGTTTTTCTAGTCCTTGAAATGATCAGCTCAGTGCAGTCAGCAACTTGATCAAAGTCCCTTTCTCTGACATGGGACATGAAATGAATCAGATCATGTTTTATAACAGATTCCTTTTGGAATAGCCTCTTATCTTAAAAGAAAGGAAAATAAAGCATCACTGCTAACAAGTAATATCTTCTACAAATCTACACTGTTACATTTATTACATCCCTTCATGACAAAAAATTGGGCACTGTTTTACAAAAGCATTCATTTAAAATGTGGTAGTTCCCTTTTTAAAACTGAAGAGATTTCCCCTGTAATGCTTTGCTAGGTTTCCTACCTTTGTTTAAAGCAGAAGATGAACATAGAGCTGAAACACTTGTTCTACAAGTTCCATGAACTCATGGACAGAAAGTCAATATGCTTTCAAAGCCATGTTCAGCAATAAACTTAACAGATGCTTTTAGGTACTGCTTGGCCCAAATTATTAAAAATATTGGTTGACAAGATCTTAAACAGCTTATTTCAAGTGTACTTTCCCTGCAGGTTTAATTGCATGATGACACTTGCCAAAAGAGGTTGTTAGTTCTACAATTGCCACAGTTCTTTCTGCAGATATTGGATGTAATGCCCTGCCAGTTACATTTTTGCTTCATGAACTCAAACCTTGAGAGCAACACAGTAATGAGTATTCACTTAATCCTTTCCCCTGTTATGTTTAAGTTTTCTAAACTCAAACTTATACATAGTTCAAAATGTATATTTCTAGACCAGGGCTGTCCAACTGGCAGCCTGTGGGTCACATGCAGCCTGAGGGGTTAAGTTGTGACCCCCAGACTCCCATCTTGCCATCGCTCCCCCTGCATTATTCCCATTGCAACAGCAGCCAGCTCTGGGCTCCCCCCCTCCCTCCTCTAGTTGCTTCTTCCTGCCCAAGGCAGGTATGGTGCAGGGAGCAGGGAAAAGTCCAGGGCCATGTGGAAGTGCAATGCAATGTGTGTGCATGGGGGCGGGGGGCACAATGCAGCAGGGCAGGAGAAGAATGTAGGCACAGTAGCAGGGACATCTGTGTGGCCCAGAGGCCCATATGGCAAACCCTGGAATGGCCCTTGCCCATGCACTGTGTGGCTCCCAGCCACTTGGAAGTTGGACAGCCCTGTTCTAGATCTGTTGGACAGCCCTGTTCTAGCCCTGTTTGAGCCTCAGCTGACACACATAAAAACAATGACCCACTGTTGAACAGTGATATGGAAAGCATGGTGACCATTTGTATTTGCTCCTGAAACAAAAACTAGTAGAGTAGGTTGCTGGTTTTAAGCAAAAGATAAAAACTTGAAGCTCATACTTAACTGTCTCCATTTAGAACCCCCATCTAGAAATTTACTTGCCCTTAAATTCTAAATCTAAAAGTCAGTACAATATGAAAAAAAAAAAGTAGATTACATTAATGAGACACCATAATTTGAGCCTCAAAATATAACTGGGGGTGGTGCAAATCTAATGGCAATTGAACTAAGAATCTGATTTCTCTGGGTGAAGAGAGAGCTTATTTGAGGTTGCAGATAAGAGACTAGCAGAGCTAATGCACTTATGCCAAAAGAAAAAAAAAAAAATGTAAAGTCCCTGTGGTCTCTTCAGATTCCAAAACTGGTTACCTGTGCTTTTTATCCTGCTAGTGACTTTTCATTCCATTTTAAGATTATTAGAACATTTATGGACACACTTAACCAAGCCATTAGATCCAAAGTGCTCAGCTACAAGGAGCACAGCAAAAAACTGGAATGGACGGACATCTGATGTCTGACTATTCTTCCACCAATTTGAGAAATCTTCAATCAACATGACATCTTACACTGCCCTGTAGATTTCACAATGATACTTTGAACTCTTACATGTTTTGGTAAGAAAAAAATAAATAAATAAAAAACAAAAACAAAAACACACCAAATCAGTGGGGGACATTAAGCTGTTGAGCAGCTATGCTTACATTTATGCAACAACATTTTTTGCACAGAGAAACAAACCTCTATGTTCCCCTCTCCCCATTAACAGACTCTCACACGTGCACACACACAGACTCTCTAGAAAGGTAAGACACTTTTATTGAGTTTGTTGATAAATTAAGAAAGGACTATGGACTGGATTTGTACTGATCACAGGTGCCTGTAAACAGAGACAGAGGATCCTTCCTATGGAAAAACTGGTCGTAGTGTGCTCAGACGTATCACTTTCCCCAGCGCTGTTCACAAGCCGCATAGCGAAGGAGGGCAGAGAAGAAGTCCTCATAATTGATATTCAGATGTGAAGGCAAAGAACTAAGGAAGCAAAAATGAAATAGGAAGAATTAAAATGAGCAGTTATTTATCTAAAGGAATTTGCCAGGTCAGGAAGTAGATTATTTTCAGTCATTTAAGTCAGTCACAGCATTAATTGTTCCAATATCTTGGTACCCCACCTCCAAAACAAAGAGCTTATTATCTACAGACTCAATAGAAACAACTAAATTGGTAGTTAAATAGCTAGATACCTTTTCCAATTTTAATGTAAATCTCTTGTTTATGGGGCATCCTAAAAAATGTGCGTTCACAAATTGTAATTTCAGTGCTAGAATCTCTGACAAATTCAATTACTTGTTATTAACTATAGTTCATCTGTACAAGTTTCTCAGGGATCCACTACTCTCAAAATGCTTAAACATCTAATGTCATTAACATTCTGTCAACATTTTGCCACTTATCCCTTCAAGGATACTTTTGCTGGACTTTAAGTAGCCTTCCAAGAAGAGGAAAAGAGTTATACAAGAACACTGAACATTGAGTGCAAGGCGACTACAGGGGGTAGTAGCAGTGAAAAGGCCATTCCTAACACTGAACACTAAAGCAGCTTATTGCTGCTAGTCATGAATTAGTGTCATAATATTTTAAATTAGTGTCAAAATATTTTCTTAGCCCCTAGATGTTTAAGCCTTCTGTGGGAATGATTTTTTATTCAGTTACAGATCTTTCCAAAATGATCCTAAAAGCCCTAAAAAAAAAAAAAAAAAAAGTCACAAGTCTTGTGTGCTTATCCTAATAGCTTCAGACACAGAAATACCCCAAGCCATCTACAAAGGGATATGTAGGAACAGTTGGTCTCAAGCTGCAGCAGAAGCAATTTAGGTTTCTGACTAGAGGGTAGTTAAGTATTAGAACAGGCTACCTAGAGAAGTTGAAATCTCCATCCTTCGAAATTTCCAAGAGGTTGTGGAATCTCCATCCCTGGACATTTTCAAGAGCGGTTTGGACAGACACTTGGCTGGGATGGTTGAGTCAAGGATGATCCTGCCTTTAGCAGCAGGCTGGACTAGATGACGTTGTGAGATCCCTTCCAGTCCTACTTCCTCATCTATGCTGGCAAAGAGTCTCTTCAAATTAAACTTGGGAGACTGACAAGTTCATTCTAACAACTGGCAAATATGGGCAGAGGCCAACAGAGCCTTATTTAACTTTAAGGAAGAAAAAAAAGTAGGAGCCTAAATCTTGCAGTTTTTCAGAGAGGAAAGGCCAGCAATGTATGCATTCATTGAAACAAACTTCAGTCACCCTGAAACAAGATGATGTAAAACAGTGTCATATGAAGCTCAGTACTGACAGTTTGATAAACCTATTCATTTATAAAGCCACTGGAATATAAACAGCTGTTGATTTTTTTTCCTAAAGAACCTTGCAGATAAAAAAGGCACACAATAGAAGGATTCAAGGCATCCTAACCAAGATGGGCTTGACTATACTTCTGAAGGGGGAATTCTTTTGCCAACCATGGTCAGGGGAACAATGAAATGGAATGGAAGAGCTGGGGTTATGAGAGATGCATGGAATATCTGCATGCACTACTCCATTTGTGTCTTAAAAGCACAAACTTTTACAGGGATCATAGACTGTGCATTTCTTGTGCGACAGGTAGAGCCTTAGGAGTGAAATCCAGTCAATTCTCTACTGATGGATTGTACCAAAATAAGGATCTCATTTCTGTTCTTTTCACAAACCTGCTTCAATTAGTCTTTTACTATCTCAACTAGATCTTATATGACCTGCTTTTGTTTACTGGAGGGATTGTGTCATTTTGGACACTTATAGTAAGCCTTGCACCTAAGAATTTTAGCTTAAACAATGAAGACGACAGACTAACTGAGCAATTCCCAGCCAGGGTGCCATGGCACTGTTAGGTTTGCAAATATAATTCACAAGATAAAACCAGAGATTTCAAATTGAAATCTACAGTTGTGGTCCGAGTCCTTTGCAACAGAAAAACAGCTCTATTTTTTCCTATAGTCAAAAAAGAATGAAAACAAAGAGCTAGCACTTTGTGAGGGGTGCTGTGGGTCATTCAAGGGTGCCAAGTCTAAAAAGATTGAGAACTACTGGACTAATTCATAGTCCACCAACTCACATGATCTCTGTCAGTCTTATGTGCCAAGGAAGGAATCCTAATGTGCTGTCCACAGGACCAAACTTTAATATTAAGTCAGGATCAGGAAAACCGTTAGTACCTACAAAGCAAGAGAATAAATTTATTAAGTCTGTGGTAGTCAAAACAGATACATAAGGAATGAATACACTGTGACAACATCCAGCAACCAGTGGTCTAGCTAATCCTGCACAAAAGGGTGCCTTAAATGCCCTGGTTCTTCATTTGCATTTTTGCTCAAAAGGGTTTCATGTTTTGGTGCCATGTTCCACCAGCTACATTAGCTTGGTCCCACTTAAACCATCACACCTCACTATCTTACCAGGGTGGTGCATTTTCAAAGGTTACCAAGCCAGACAACTTCATGTCCCTTTGAAAACTGGCTGTTACTGATTGAGCCATTGCAGCCTCTTGGTGCAACATCCAGAACACATGAAGAAAAAGATCATTCACACAGTGATCTTTTTATCTCTTTGCTAGTTTTACAAACTAAAACATTCAAGCTTCTCAGGTCCCTGCCGTTGGAAGGAGAGAGTTATGCACTCTGTCCTCCTCTAGCAAGCTTTTAAAATAGAAAGTCTGTATCCTACTATTTAGTAGTTAACGTGAAGATCAAGTTAAGGATTATGTAAATATAATGATAAATGCAAGGTGGTATACTTATGGGCAAATGAACCTCTCTATACTACCAGACAGGAGTATGTGCCATCATTAAATAGGAACATCTATGCAAGTCAAGTAAGTATACAGATGGCTTCAGTCTTCATCCATTTAAAACCAGATGTGCCATCTGTGCTGCTGTACAAGTTTGCCAGTTACATCAGAGATAGGCTTCCTCATTCAATCAGCTACCAGACACTGCATCACTTAATTATCACGTGCTGCTAGGGTGGCATTTCAGAAAGATACTGCTAACTCCACTGATTGCTAGTGCAGGAGTTGGGAGAGAAAAGTAAATGTTAACATGTCTGCAAACATCTAAGGCAACCTGATCTGCACACAGGTTTGAAAGCTTCTATTTCCCAGAAATCCTTTAAGCAACTGTTCCCAGAAAGCAGTGAAGGTGGGAACCATCCCAGATTAGAAAGCATACATAAAGAATATTCAGCAATAAGAAACAGGTTTGTAGAGTAAGGTTCCTTTAACACAGAACAAGATCATACACAAACCATTAGGTTTCTTACTTCCAAAGCTACTACTGTACATCTTCATTGTTCCCCAACTCCTACGAACAAATACACCACATAGCTGTTCTACAGCACTTCCCCATCAACAAATAAAGCACTTTAGAAAGGTGGCTAGGTTTCATCATTTCTATTTTAAAGGTGAGGAAAGGGTGATGCAGACTAGAGTTAGTGTAGGCAGACTTCAAAAGGAACTAGACTAATTCATGGATAGTTCATTGAATAAACAGCTATTAAATGGAACAGTTAAGGATGTATCCTCCGACATCCCTAAACTAGTGCTGGTGGGATGCCAAGGAAAGTATAAACAGGGGCAGTATATGAAGAGGTAGGTCACTCTAGATCAGCGATTCTCAACCTGAAGTACTCCATTCCTATCAATTGTGAATGAAGCAGCACCCCAAGGTAAGAGCTAATTAATTTACTGCAAGGGGGCAAGCAATTCAGAGGGTCTGGGCAGTGGCCAGGCAGAGACAAGCTCAAGCCTGCACTTATCTCCTCACAGCTCATGGCAATCTCCAAAGGAACTCAGAATACTCCAAGGTGCCCCAGCACCCTGGTTGAGAATCATTGCTCTAGATGAAAAGGGGTTCCATATTTGAGAAGCAGCTATTGCAACATTCCCCAGCAAGCGGAGTGCCCCAGGGGTCGGTCTTGGGGCCGGTTTTGTGAAATATCTTTATCAATGATTGGAAGATAGCATAGAGTGCACCCTCAGTAGGTTTGAAGATGTCACCAAGCTGGGGGGTGGGGGCAGCCGTAGTAGATATGCTGGAGGTTAGGGTTAGGATTCAGAGAGACCTAGAGACAAATTGGAGAACTGAGCCAATAGAAATCTCATGAGATTCAATAAGGACAAGTGCAAAATCCTGCACTTAGGATGGAACAATCCCATGCACCAGTACAGGGTACGGGATGAGTGGCTGGGCAGCAGCTCTGCAGAAAAGGACCTAGGGGTTGCAGTGGAGAATAAACCGAATATGAACTAACAGTGTGCCCTTGTCTTTAAGAGGGCTAATGGCATTGGTAGGAGTGTTGCCAGCATATCTAGAGAAGTGATTATCTCTCTGTTCAGCACTGCAGTTTATCAGTCATTTGAAGTCTGGTAGAAATCAGCTGTGTAAGTATGGACTTTAAAAACCCAGGTATTCCCACATTTCCTGGATAAATGTTTTGACTCGAATACAACAAAGTTATATCCCATTCATCTTCCACAGGCTGTCTTCAACTGCATGTGGTTTACCCAATAAAATGCAAGCTGAACTATGCCAGAGAGATTTAAACACATGTACATTTGTGGGAATGTTTGTGTACTAGTTTGTCAAATTTTCCAGCTAAAGGCTGAATTTGGAATCAAGAAGCTTCATTTCTATTTGAAACAAGATTTCTCTAGCTGAAGGAGCAGGAGTGTCTTTATGTGCTTTCGTCTGGATGGCAGAAACCTTCCTCCATTCAGCAGAGTTGGAGTAACTGTGCCAACACAATAGCAGTTCTGCTGCCACAGGCCTCAGAGTCTCTCTACTGCTCAAGTCCTGTTCTGCTGTATGATCAATATCACTTAGATTGCCTTCAAACTCAAGTTACCTAAGCAACTCAAGTTGTTAGGACAGCTTTCATTTTTTTTTCAGCTGTCTCCAGCATGCTTCTTTCCATTTATCAAAAAGGAAGGTTTTTTTTTTTTTTTTTAAATACAGAATTCTCAGAGGTATAAAGGTTTATTAGAAAAAAAATATATAGGACAGTTAAAGAGATCTTGAAAGGAGGAATTAGCTAAACCTCTAAAGCACGAAGAGACAACTAAAAGAAGAAGGAGAGAGGAGGCTAATGGAAAACAGTGTTTTTAAAACTATTTTGAAGGACAAGTATCTTGAAAAAGACTGAGAATATTATGATAGAGGCTAGGGGGATCAAGACATGGACAGAAGTTCTGAATGGTCCGATGTCCTCCTCAGGACTTATCTTTAAGAAGATTATTATATGGCATTCCTTTCCTTCTTCCCTTTAGGCACTATATAATACTTACTACTTAGCAAGTTGTCCAAGACATTAACATCCAGGTCTGTATATTTTCTTTGCTGCTGTGCTACCAACTGGCAAAAGTTCTGAGCAGCTCTCACTATGTCTGCTTTTCCATCTTCTGGGGACAGCACCTTCAGTGCAGATTGGCAATTTAAAACTGCAAGCAGAGAATAAAGGTGGTTTTAGACTAACTATATTTCTGGGGGGGCGGGGAGAAAGTGTATTTGCTTATGACTTTAGGATATTGATGAACTATTGAAAAGCACCGATTTGCTAAAATTAAAGTAAAAGGAAGACACGAAGTCAGGGTACCAAGTCATGCTGCAAGTCACAGGTTTCTTGCTAGTTGGATGCGGCTCCTGTCCCTTTAATAGGCTTCACATTCTACATTTAAAGAGAAAAACCAAATGATGCCCAGTCATAAATGTACTCATGAGAAGCAAACTTAGAGGGACTTCAGTTAACCATCTGCCACTGTGTATTTACTCAACTCACCAAAAATACAGCTTAACATTTTTTATTTTATTTATTTACTTTTTACAGTGTTTAAACAGACTCTATTTGTGAGCATAGTTCTGACTGATTCATGGACTACAGAACACTAGCTGGTGGTCCATGAAAATGGTAGTCAGAGGCATAACTAGCAATTTTGGTGCCGTGGGCAGAGATGCGAGAGGACACAGAACATGCCAAGTGCTAGAGAGCTGGGGGGAGGGAGGAAGCACTATTGTAGGGCACAAGGGACGTAGAGTAACCCCAGAGACTCAAGCACCCTCAGCTGTTGCCATTTCTATCAATGCTTACTGAGGACTCCCATTCACATGCTCCCTCTAAAATTAGTGCACAGGGATACTTGGCTGCCCCCAATTATGGTGCTGGTGGTCATAATGATGCTTGTTTTTTGGGTTTTTTCAGTTGCCTTTAAAATGGAAGTTCCAGCTTCAGGTTCTCATTGCAAAGCAAGGCTCAAAGCCTGCAAAAGAATGGAGGAATTCAAGTGACACCAGCATAGCTTTTCTGCTAGGACTAGTTCAATAAGATGTAAACATACAAAGACTAAGAGAAAGTTAGTGATGTGACTGGATTTGTACTCCAACACAAAGCAGACTTTAACCTATCGCCTCTTAAGCGCTGCTGCTTAGCAAATTAGAACCAATTCTCGTTACTTTATCATAGTGTTACACAACCATTTGCCCCTATGCTACCCACCTTACCAGATCTGCCCACCTGCAACATCTAGCACATAGGGCATGTTACCCAGCCTACTTGGCACTGCCTCTCCCCACCAGTTTGGAAATTTGGCAGGAGGGGAATAGCAATTAACATTGCCACTGCTCCTGTTGCCAAATTTCCAGACCAGCAGGGAACCCTGCAAACCAGATGGCATGGCTCTGTAGGCCTGATCCACCCCCCTGCTGCCCCAATCCAGCCACTTAACCTAATAGATCTGGCCATGGACTGGTGTTACTTGGCACATTGGGCTTCCCATGGGGCTAAAAATTTGGCAGCAGGGGAGTGACATTCAATGCTGCCACCACTCCCCCATCACCAAATCTCTGGGTCTCTAAGAAGCTCCGTGGGCCAAATGAAAATGACTCTGTGGACTGGACCTGGCTCACAAACTAGAGGTTGAGCACTTCTGCTTAGTTCTAGTTGTGGATTCTTTTCCTTCCTACCTGTCCCACAGGCTCTGGACATACTGCCATGGCACTAAGGGTGGCAAATAGAGGCTGGCCAGTGGGTAGAAAAACAAACAACCAAACAACGTAGAGGAATTCCTGCCTGTAAAAATCAGTTAGTATTGCATTACAGCAAAAGGTGCCTGTAGGACTGAGAAACAACTTTAGACTATTAGTTGCCTATATACAGGCTGACATAAATAGTATTCCTTTTTTTTTTTTTTTTTATGCACACTGAAAATAATGGGTCCCTGACCATGCTTGGGATCCTGTGAACAAGCATTTAACACCAGCTTAAAATGGTTACAAGTGTGATTGGACTGAGGGGGTAGGAAAGAAGGAGAAGAATTCAGAGGGTTGTGTATAAATATAGACGAATGATACATATGTACTGGTGCATCCCATCACCCTACCTTGATCTGCTTTGTCTTGATTTGCAAACTCCATTTTGTATTTAGAGTAATCTAGACCCAAAAGCTCCTGTTGCTGTTTTAAAATTTCATCCATTAACTTTGAGTTATTTCTCTTGAAAATCCCTTTAAGAAAAGAAAAGAAAAGCAAGCCACAAGTCAGTCTACTTTCCAGAAAGAAGGTTATGCAAACAAAACAGATGGTAAATGTCAGGTTTAAACTGGAGTCCACAAGGACAGCAGAGAGTTGAAGCAGATGATACTGCTCAAATCTGGTTTCAGTATGGCCTTGGAGGAGAATAAAAGGTAAATATAAACAACCTGAGGTCAGGCAGTGCTGTTGCTGTTCCTCACCTGATCTTGAATTGAGCAGTAAAGTTGCTTCACTCCCCTCCCTCTCCTCACCCTCTCATTGCATGAATGCTGTCCCATTCTAGAGACAATTCACTATTTCCACATTAGATAAGTTAGAGAGGAGAATAATATACATATATAAAACAGAGGTTCCCAACCACCGGGTCGTGAAGGGCTGGCTGCTGAGCTGCAGCATGAGCCCCACCTCTTGAACCCCTGTCTGTCTGCCCAGGCAAGCAGCTTCTGCTGCTAGCAGTCGCGTGCAGGGTTAAAGCTGGGCAGCCCTGGGAAGGAGGCAGCCGGCTCCATGCGCCCCATCCTGCTGCCATGGTTATGCCCGGTGAGGCACTGCTTGTGCAGCAGGTACCAGGGCCTGGCCAGTCAGGACCTGCAGCTGGGAGCAGGGGCTGGGATGCAGGCAGGAAAATGCCTGGGGCAGAGGGCGAGGAGGCAGCTCCACTGCTTTCTCCTAGGGAAGGCAGCGGAGCCCCTTCTTCCCTGGGCCACCACCTGCACAGCCTCCTCCCCTGCAGGGTCCCCTGGTGCCCACAGCTGCAGTGCCCCAACCAGCACCCAGGTTTACAAATTTAAATATGTAAATTAGATATTTCTGTACCTGGTCCACCAGGATTCTTTGAGCAAGTTTGCCATAGTATTAAAAAAAAAAAAGAGGTTGGGAACCACTGATATAGAAGACTGGAAGTCAGGAACATCGCTGTTTTAATGCAATTCTTACCCACGGTCACTGAGAGAGCCTTGTGCAAGTCTCAAGTTTTGCTTTAGTCTCTTCAAAAAACTTCTTGAGAATAGTTACCAGCTCTACCTGTTAGTGTCGTTAAAGTGTTTTGTAAACCAAATTATGCAAGGATGTATAGCTAGGGCAGTCATGACCTTAGAGGCTACAAGAACAGCGAGAACTTTTATCCTTAGATATTAGTCAACAATGACAGGATCAACTTACTCAACTGAAGCTTAGACTATTACTGCTCACTTTCTGAAGTAGTTTATTGCCCAATAAAGCAATACCCAAATCCAAGAAGCCATGGTAATTTTGCCCAGGGCCTGGTAAAAGCCACCACAAATATACTAATAACATACTTCCGCTGTGACTGCTCTCTACCAAGAGAAGACAAGAAATGACAAAGCAAACATACCTCTATGTGGTATATTAGACTCTACAGAATTACATTCTTGCCTTCATCTGATTGCATGCCAGCAGCCCCTTACAAGGTTAGGGACAGCTGTCTTAACTGGTGCATATTACAAGCAGCACATTGTCACAGTTCTTACTGCAATATGCAGGGAGGTACAACTGTATCCAAAAGGATTGTGGGCTCTTTGTTTCCAAGTTAAGTTGTGTGGGTTGCTAGTGTAGCACAATAATCCATTCTTATCATGGGAAACAGTAGTAACAAACTATAGGGGAGAGGCAAGTATAGGTGATGTTTCTGAAACAACTGGTTGGACAAAAATTGATCTATGGCAAGTAATGCTGCTTGTGCAGAACACATTAAATGACAGATCATAAATAATTAATGTCCTATTGAATCTACCCTTCACAAGGACACTGATAGTTGCTTAACCTGTACCCACATGCCATGTCCCGCATAATATTAACAATCCAGCACACACAATAAGTCAAAAGGGAAGCTTGGACTGGAATGCGTTGTAGCTCTCTATATCCTGGTTTCAGGTTTAAATAAGATGATGTTTCTGAAGAACCCTGTATGTTAATCTTGCGTACACATTAAAAAAAATTCTCTCTCAAAAACTTGGCAAGTAAGTGGTAGTAAGGGACCACAAAGAGGATTTCTAAGAATACCTCATCTGGCATTTGGCTACAAGTTTTGCTCTTTTTATCCCTGCATACAGCTAGTAGGATGAGAGGCCATTAGGAAGAAGTGTGGTGGTAACCAAACACCTACAAGTAGGCTCCTTCCAGTAGGAAGCATTAAAGTTGGAGTCTGAGGCTTGCTCATCTCTGTTCATACTCCAAATTTAGGGGATGGAACGAATGGGTGGTCCTGCAAAACTAGCTGCAGCATAAGATAAACCTGTTCCACCAAGGCTGAGCCATTCAAGGGCAACACTTCACACTTCTAGGAAAGCCATAGAGGCACTGTCATAAAGGAGTTAGTTAAAGCAGTAATTCTTGTTCTTCAAATGTAGTATAAGTCACTTAAGATGCAGCCATTTATATTGCATGAATAGGACTAGTCATTTTCCAAAGTAGCAGAGGCCTATCCAGAATGCCATTTAGCAGGCTCTGGAATAACTAGGAGATTCATAATTCCTTTACTTTCAAAAGAAGTGTGTAGTGTGAAGCTTAACAGAGTTTGGGGTACAGAGATTTTTCTAGGCCAATGGTTTTCAAATTGTCTTCTGTGGAGTTCTGGGGTTCCATGATAGGTCATCAGGGGTTCTGCAAAGAGACTGGGGGTAATGCAACGGAGGAGCCAGCCAGGAGGCAGTACACCGCTTTTATGGAGCCTCTTTTATAGGGCCTCCGTCAGTCTTTAGGATAGAGGCAGGGGTTCCACAGCAGAAGTGATATGAAGTCATGGGTTCCATGATTTCAGAAAGCTTAAAAAAGCCTCTGTTCTAGGCACTTCTTCCAGGGACCTTGTTATTTGATTCCCCATTCTAGTTCCCCCCCCACCCCATTTCTTTCTTCCCAGGACATGTCATTCTTCAAGCTCTAGAAGATGCAGCCACTTATGAAGGAGGTAGTTGAAAAATCTCATTCCCATCCTCAATATGGGAATAGGTCTTAACTGAGAAACCAATGCGCCTGACCCCTTTGCAGTGGGCTCTTGTGTAAAAGGTCACGTCCTTGTCCTCCAAGGGCCAAACACCACACACAAATAAGAATGTTTGTAGGGCTTTCACCATCACAAGAAAGTTATTAAAAAAAAAAATATCTAGTAAGAAGCAAGCTTTTACCCCACAATTATTTTACTTTTTTTCCCATAGCCATGGAAGAGAGTCTTTTGATGGGCAACACTGCCTTCATAACGTTTTTCTTCCATTTTCCCTCTTGGCCAATGAACTAAATTATAATGAATATTTTTCTTTAGCTTTTTTCCACAACCAGCTACTGGATCTCAAAGACATCTTCTACCATGCTAATAGATGATAAATCAGTCATAAACCATTATACTGTAAAATATATATGACCTGCTTTCTGCAGTTACCTGCTACTGTATTAAGGACTGTCATCTGATGATTAAATGTAGCTCTCCCAACCCCAAACTGGAGCACTTAATCCCCAATTCTAGTCCCAACACATTCTGGTGATATCTTAAAACATGGAATATTGTTCCTTCTTTCTCACCCCTTATATTTTATTTATTTAGACCATATGCCTTTTGAGTCTGGAACTGTATCTTACTACACATTGGTAGGGTACACAGCACAATGAGGTCTGAACCACAGATCTATATTACAATACAACCAGAACAAAAAACCATCTTGGTGGAGATGGTCCTACTAAGAACTACAAGTATTAGTTTAGACAAAATTTTTCATTTAGGAAGCCTTTCACAGGTGGACCAGATTCCATCATATAAATACAGTGAGAGATCCATCATAACAGTGAACGCATCTACAAAGTCCAAGTTCGTGAAGAAGTAAAGTAATGGGGGTGGAAGGGAAGAAAAGAGAGAGAACCAATCTAGAGGGGATGCCAAGGGAGCCCTACATACACTGGCTGCTGCTGCTTGCATCAGGAACCCAACAGATTAACTTCCCCTCCTTGCTTCCCAGGCACTGAAAATGCTTGGTATACCTCCATTCTGAAGCACTACTCGACTATTATCTTACTCATATTCTTAAGTAATCCATTAAATAGGTGACTGCCACTACAACTTATACTGTTTAATTGCTCTGTTATTTTATTATTGATGGTCATCATGCAAATCCCTCTACAAACTAACCAAACCCATGACTTCTAAAAAAAGTTGAGTAGCAGCCAAACTAGCACTGCATCTATACCAAGCTTTTGATTCTACTGCTGCTCCTCCAACAATGTTCTAGAAAAAGCTATATGAAATACTTTATCCACTGCATTAACTAACCCTGATCAACAAGTCTGTTATAGTCAAATCTTACTTATTTGACAAGACAGAAGCGTCCTGTTGTTGGTCATGATCAATTTCTGCCTAGCAATCACTCCATCAACTGTAGAAAGATAAGCTTGTGTGTCAGTCAGCTTCACATAGCTTAGTATCTATAAAAATTTATCCTGGCACACAATCAGATTGAAGTGTGCAAGTAAGCTTAGTTCATAAGACAATAGTTTCCAGTGCTTTAAGGCAAATGAACCATTTCCCCCAGAACGTATGCTCACGCTCATTTTTAGCAACCCACTACTTCCCCAATAAATTGTGCATATATTCATCAACACAATCCAAGGCCTCTTTCAGTTAAGAATATTCACTTCCTCATTGAGTGGTCACAGCTGTCCAGGCAACTCCCAGGATACATAGGCCTAGCTAAGGCATAATGTCAAGACAAGGAGAACCTATAAAGTTGTTATGAGGTGCACCAATACAGATTTTGTGGGCCAATACTGATGATTGATTATTAAATGAGTCATATTGGCTAATACTGATCCAATTGCTGATATGTAGCCCAGCAGCTTAGAGAGCAGTGTCCGGCTGGTAAGTCTGTTGGGAGGGAAGGAGCAGAGAAAGAGAGGGGGGCATATACACTCTCAGGGGAGGCATGGGGGGGGTTTGTTTCCCCAGATGCATGAGGGGCAAGGGGGGGCTGCCACGCACCTCCCCCGGGGTA